CTTATTGAAAAATTTCATCTAAAAAATTCAGATGTCAGAAAGGAATACAATTATTAATTCAGAGCTTGTTTGTCTCCCATTTTGGGAGAAGAAATAGAGTTTTGAATAATATTTTTTGAAAAATGTGTGGTTGAAAAGTAAAGTAATTTTATTGGTTAGTGTGTAGAATATTTTACTGAGAGAATATGTGGTGGCGATTGTTTACTGTAGCAAACAATATTTGATAAAATAGATGACAAGCATGAGCTTAGTCTCTAATGCATCATCCCAAGTGAAGAAAGAGTTCATTTATTTATCAAATGTTTGACCTTGCACTATTTTATATATAAATAGATGGAAACGAGATACGAATCAAGTATCATCTAAAATTTTAAGATACTAAAGAAAAATATTTTTTATTTATTTAAGTTTATTCCTCAACAAAACAAATTTTCCGAATATGTTAGAAATGTATACACTATTAAATCAAAATTGTTTGACGTTGAAACGAGCCCAACAAAACGGCATTTACTTCTTCGCTACAACTCTCCATTCTCGAAGGGAGGAGGCTACTACCCTGCCGATTTCTGCCTACCCTTCAACCCATATGAAATATTTCAACCAAAATAAGCAAAAAAATTGTTTAATATAGGGTTATTTTTGGTCTCTACTCTAAGTAATAATTCATTGAGCTTTTAAAGTTGCATCAGTTTTCTTGACTTTATTTATCAAATAGAAGTATATTGTCATAGTAACCTCCTTTCAATTCCCACAATACCCTTGTAATAAGTAACAAATTAAACTCTAATTAAGTTAGTAAAAATAATTAATCTTGGAAGGTGGAAGAACTCCAGCTTTGTTTGAGGCTGCCGCGTCAAGGGTTCGAATCCTGAAATATGGATTTGGCTCTTGGGTAAGTGCAAGTATACAAGCAGCCTTCCACCCTATACCCTTGAAAGCATAATCTGCGATTTACCTCCTTCACCAAGGTCCAGAGTAGGGCATGTGAGGCCGCTAAGGATGCGGTTCATCCTCAAGTTAGTAAAAATAATTAATCTTGGAAACTTAATAGCACGTTAAAAAAGGTAGAATAATATTAATATGACATGTTACTTTGAATCTTTGAGCATATGTAACAATTTAATTTATTGACGATAAATATTAATTGGACATTGCTTCTAATATAGTCGCACTGAATCTTTCACGATGAATTCAAGGAATAGGCAAAAAAAATTACGTAATCGATTCAAAATTTATTATAAATAAATCTTGGTTAGATGTTACTTTCGAGTTAGTTGAAGATGGGATGAATTTTAATGCCCAGCACGCACGTTACTTGTTCTAATTTTATTTATTTATTTTTTCACCTTACTTGTTCTAACTTTATTTATTTCTTTTTTCTTTTTTCATATTCTGCTTTGAAACATCATGCTTTAATTAAAAATTGTCGAATTAATGGTTTAATTAATTTTTTTCAGTTATATTCTCTTGTTATTACCTACTCCTTTAAGTTTCCACTCTCTTTACACTTGTGAGCAAAAAGAACTCCAAATCTGTCACAATTCACAAGCACTACCATTTAAAGAAAAAAAAACACGCACTAAAAATCTCAAGTGTGAGAAGGAGATTTTTCTTTCTTGATTTCTCTAATATGGAGAAACACAAATGCAAACTGTGCTCCAGAAAGTTTGCTAATGGAAGAGCTCTTGGGGGACATATGAGATCCCACGTGATGTATTTTTGTGCAGAAAAAAAGGAAGAAAACAATGGAAAAGTAAACCGTTTTGAGAATTGTCACCAACAGATTGATCAAGGGGATGATTTTCAATCATCTTCTGCACCATCATCATCTTCATCTTCAGACGGTGAGGATGAAGAGAGAGAAGAAAAAAGGATTCTGTGTTATGGGTTGATGAGAGAGAAGAAAAAGGGATTTTGTGTTATTCAAGGTAGAGAAAGTGAAACAGATTCATCAAAGAATAAGTTGAAAAGGGTTAGAAAATTAACAACTTCTGGGATTAAAAGCAAGAAAAGTGATTATTTTGAGCACTTATCAGAAATGGTGGAGCCTGAACCATTGAGTTCGATTTCAGATACCACTCCAGAAGAAAATGTTGCTTATTGCTTGATGATGCTATCCAGGGACAAGTGGAAGAGAAAAGAAAGTGACAACGAAGAAGAAGAGAATTCTGGTGTTGTATATCGAAATCTGATTGGACTCCATGATAAACGGAACAAGCCGAATAAAGTGTTAAAGACCAAGGCTAGAGGAAAATATAGATGTGAAACTTGTAACAAAGTGTTTAGGTCATATCAGGCTCTTGGGGGACATAGAGCAAGTCACAAGAAGATTAAAGTTGAGCGGCCTCCACCGGAGGTGGCGTTGAAAACTAGAAACAAGGCTAATGCAGGTGGTGGTTCAACGGTGGCAGAAGCAGTGGAGGTGGAGGAGAAAAAAGTTCATCATGAGTGTCCAGTTTGTTATAGAATCTTTTCATCAGGTCAAGCACTTGGTGGGCACAAGAGATCACATTTTACTAGAGCAGCAGCAATTTCATCAAGTACTACTTCAATTAAACCATTTTCAAGATTTGGTGAAACTTTCAACATAGATCTTAATCTTCCTGCTCAGATTGATGAAGATGAGGAGATTTCAGCTGTTTCCGATTCAGAATTTGTCAACCCCATTAAGCAATAAATTTTAGCTTGAAATGTTGGGGAAAAAAAAGAGTGATTGATTTTATAGGTAAAAATATTGTTCTTTTCCTAATTCCATGGATCTGAGTCTATAGATTACTCCAAAAAATGGTATTTCTTTAGATTATTCAGTTACTGGGAAAACTATAGGAATTAATTTTAGTCCATTTTGAGTGCTTATATTTGTACGCAGTCTGTGGCTGAATATTAATTTTAATTTATGCACCGGTCACAGCCACAAGTTCAGTATGTTTGAAGCCGACTGTTTTTTGTAATCCTATTTCTTGAATAAAGTAACTGTACTCTTTAAAAAGTAGTTGATTAAGAACAGAATATTTAATCACAAAAGGCAAGTTCCATCTGTCACTTCTGTCATTGTACAGTTGAAGTTCGATCAAAAGAGTTTCTCATATATAGCACCTGATTGATTCACGTTCACGTTCTCATTTTCATTTTTCTATTTATTTTCAACAATACATTTTCGATAAAATAATATTTTTCATCACATCAATAATTTTTCCTTCTTTTTCAACCACATATTCTCCATCAAATCATATCAAAAAAATGCATTCTCTCCTAAAAAATGTGTATCAAACACAAGCTCCCTCTCTCTCTCTCTCTCTCTCTCTCTCTCTCTCTCTCTCTCNTATCACACACACTCTCTCTCTCTCTCTCTCTCTCTCTCTCTCTCTCTCTCTCTCTCTCTCTCTCTCTCTCTCTCTCGTGGTGTCTTGTCTTTGATTTCTTAATGTGTATTAGAGGCGGTTCGACCCAATTATGGACCACATGGGTTGCGAGAGCTGAGTCTGGTACAGCCAAGCTGCATAGACTGGCTTGTCCACATAAACGGCACTGTATTATGTCTGTCTAGGAGTATGATACAGTTTGACACCTCGACGTACTATTCTAGCTTTGAATTTCAAATACTAATAATTTGTCTAAACCTGTCTAAAAAAGAAAATTAAATTATTATTTTTGACAAATACTGCAATTTATTTACAATTTGCAGAACTGGAAAAATCTAGATAACATTGCATATGGGAGAAGTACAAAATTTCAATGTATTATTGAAAGAATAATTCTTGTTGAGTAGCATGGTTTGACATGAGAATAGTATCTTCTGGCTTATGGATGTAAAGTTAAATGATATATTAAAAATTTCACTCACATTTATGAGTTGAAGATATATAAATGGCCCCAGCAGAACTCCAATTCCTTCATGGATGATCTTACATTCTTTGTCTTTGTTTCTCATTTTTCGGGCATATTCTATATTAAATAGTTTGCACAATAGTAGCCTCATTAGACCGTACATCTTTCTTGGTAAATCCAGATAATAGGTAGGAGCATAAACTGAAACATTCTGGAGCTACTTAGATAGTTATTGAATCTTTAGCACCGCATAAAATCATTCCTCCTAGTGTAGCTGTTAATACGAATAAGAGATACTCTGTTATAGCCATCTACGTGTAGAAAAATGCATAGAATTGAACATAGTAAAAGAAGAAATTGAAATATTTCATTGAAATTGTTCATTTTGAAATTTCCCAAAAAGCTAATCATAGGTTCTTCTTTCGATCGGAATAATAGGGCTGACTTTTTTGTCCTTTTAAATAAAGACCGTTCTCTCAACTCAAACAGAACTGAACATATACCTTTTTCAGTCATGGTGAAAATGTGTATTCAATGTTTTATTGAAGGAATAATGTTTGTTGAGTAGAAAGGTTTGGCATGAGAATAGTATCTTCTGGCACAGTTAAATGATTTATTAAAAAACTTAATTAATCATGTGACTGACTTTGGTGCTAGGGGATTTAAAATTTGGTTGTCTACCAAGCAGGAAAATTACATTGTTTTCACTTTTAATGACTCTTTTGGGAAGCCCGTTCCCACCACGCTCACGGGTAGCGGTAATTCTCCCGTTGCCAATCATATTGTTTAATAATATTACATATTTTTAACATCTAAGCAAGAGTGTTATAAAAAAGAATAAGGTTTCCTTTTCACAAAAGACAC